CAAACAGAGCCAGAATAGTTTGTGCTCCCACCAGCCAGAATGGAAAAATCTTATAAAACGTGGCACATCAGCAGAGGATTTCATAAAGGCATTATCTCAATGGTAAAGGAAAATTAGCTCTAAATAAAAGATATCTTTGCCCCACCTCATGAAGCTTAAAAACAAGTATCAAATGAAGTGACCATGATGTACACATTAAACATCTTCTGATGTTGTCAGTTATATCTCAATAAAGCTGAAAAAAGAAAAACAAGGATCAAACTGTTTCCAAGTAGTTTAACCGAACCCTAAACACAAAAAAACAAAACTCAATAATATTTATAGGAATAAAAAAAAATCTAACACCCAACAAGGTAAAATTTACAATATCTGGCACCCAGTCAAAATTACATAGACATGCCAAGAAGCTGGAAGACATGACTCATAATGAGGAGAAAATAAATAAATAGAAATTGACCCATAAATTGCACAGATGATAGAACTAGCATGCCAGGATATAAGAAGGCTATTAAAACTATTTTTCATATGTTCAAGGAGGCAGAGGAAAGATTAAATTTGTAGAGTAATGGAAGATAGGGAAAGGAAAAAAAAAAAGACCCAAATTGAATTTCTAGAAGTAAAATGTCCCAGATGAAAAGCGAACTGGATAGGATTAGCAGCAGATTAGATAATGCAGAGAAAAAAGATTAATGTACTTAAAAGTAGCAATAGAAGCTTTCCAAAATTAAATACAAAGAAAAATACTGAGAAAAATGAATACAGCATGTCAGAGAATTATGGATCAACTTCAAGAAGCCTAATATATGAGTAATTTGGAAACCTGAATGGAGAAAAAAAAGAGAGAACAGAAAAAACATATTTTAAAAAATAATTAATGGCTGATTTTCTCCGAATTTGATGAAAACTATAAACCAACAGATCTGAAGCTCAATGAATCCTAAGCAAACGAAACATAAGAAAAATTAAACCAAGGCACATCATAATCAGTGCTTCAAACTGGTGATAAAGAGAAGAACCTTGAAAGCGTCTACTGTGGGGTGAGGTGGGAGAGAACAAACACGTTGCATATACAAGAACAAAAATAAGAAGAGCAGAAATATCACTGGAGATAATGTAAATCAAAACAGAATGAAGCAATTTATTTAAAGTACTAAAAGAAAAAGACATCATACCTAGAGTTCTATACCCAGTGAAAATATCTTTCAAATAAATAGGAAAAATAGAATTTTTTTCCAAGCATACAAAAGAGGAAAGAATTCATCACTAACACACAAGAAACGCTGAAGAAACTTCTCTCAGCAGAAAGAAAATGAGTCTAGATTGAAATCTGGGTCTACACAAAACAATGAACACGGAAATGAGAAATAGGAAAAATCAATTTTTCTTTTTTAAAATTGCTTTTAAAAATAATCAGCTGTTTAAAGCAAATAAAATAAAAATAATAACGAAGTGTTATGGAGTTTATCATAAAGGCGAATTAAACGTCAATTAAATGGAGAAATCTGGTTCTGTAAAGGTACTTTCTGTTTCAGGCAACTGCTAACTTGGGGACCACCGTAAGTGGATGGCTGGACTGAATTTCTTATTGCTCACACCATCAACCTCTTCTTTGGGAACCCCTTATTTTTACAGCTGTATTCCCATTGCCTAGCAGTTGAGTCTCTTTAAAGGGGATTTGTTTTGATTTCCATTTTGTTTTTTTTCTTATTAAAAAACCTTCCGACTTAGGGTGAGTGATCTGTTTTTATCTTGGATACTTTTGGCCTCAAATCATCACTGCCTCCTGCAAACAGCCTCTGGTGTAGGTTTTGTGGTTTTTGATGTCTTCCTTGCTAATTGTTATGAGAAATTGTTTCAGGCTCATCATATACATTTTTGAATTCAGATCTGGAATCAGGCATTTCTTCAAGAAGCCCTAATAAATTTTGAAAAAGCAAAGCAATCTCTGAAAATCTAAAATAAAACTAATAATCATAAACATGTATCCAATTGATGATATAATCACACAGGAAATATACGAAGTGGCTTTAAAACAAATTTAACTACATATCTAAAGTGAGCTATCTCCTAAAAAATGCACTTCCCCTCAAAAAACTTATACTGTTTTCAGTAGTCAGACTGTTGGTATTAATATTGGTTTTATTATTGTGAGGCTGTTATGTGTGTGATGTAGGATACATCAAATAGATAATTATTTGATATACTCAGTCTTTTCTTCCCAGCACCTTTCCAGCTGGGATTTTCAGTATTAGACAAGTTATGGTGCAGGGAGGTGATTAGACTACCTACAATCTTTGAATTCCTTTACAGTTCTTTAAATTTATGATTCTTAAGTTGCTAAGAAAATTCTTATCCTTTTAAATTTTATTTTACTCTAATTGGATTTAAGGAAATCTGGAAACCTAAAGGAATTATTATGAATTTTAAAAGCATCATGTCCCTAACATGATTTATAGTAAACCTCATGTAAAAACTCCCTTACATTGTTTTTGCCATAATATTACAAGTATATCAACATAGAGCAAGGGAGAGAGAAAAAATAAAGGTTAATGAGAGGAATCATTATATAACCTTGTACATAATTACTTCAAAGTACTATAATAAACACTTCTTTAAGGCTTTTGGGGCAAACTGAAGTACAGAATTAAGGCAAGGCTGTGAATTTGGAAAAGGTATAGCTCAGTGATAGGCCATTTTCTTTGACCATATTCACCAAATATTGTGTGGTGAGGAATTTGAACTTTGAAGTCGACAGTCTTTTAAATCCCAGCTCCACCACTTCGTAGCTGGTGGGTCTGAGTAACTTTACCTCTGTTACCTCATCTATAAAGAAAGATGACAGCTTCTACCTCACAAGGTTGCCTTGAGAGTCCAATGACATAAGGCATCTGAGTGGAAGGCCCTGTTGGTTGCCTACCCAGCGGCCATTGCCCAGCTTCTTACCTGCTTGCTAACTGAATCCCACCAAATCCTGCTCCTTCTCGCTCCTCAAGTTATGTCATTAGGGGGAGATTGGGCCCTTCTCCATCCCCAGTGGCTGAGTATTCCTAATGTAAACCAGTCACTATGACCTCATTTTATTTGCCAAGTGATAGCATTATGGATGATATGTGACACATTTCTGTTTAATGATATAAGAGAAGAAAATCTTCTGAGGAATTCCCAGGAAGGTTTTCTCCGTTCTTAAACAGGAGCACAAGATGAGAGATTCCCTTTTTCCTGACTTTAAGTGTCACATGACTATGTGATGCCTGCAGCTGACGGAGCCAACTGCAACTAAGCTACCAAAATGATGATGGCAGCAGGAAGGGGTAGAAGGAATCTAGATCCTTAACGATATTCTCGTATGCTAAATTAACCACATAATTGCCATCACCACATTTTTTAATGTGCGATAAATTTTCTTATTTCTTAAGTCATTTTTAGGTCAAGTTTTTTGATACTGTTATTGTTTTTGTCTTTTGTAAAAGCATGCTAATAGTAAAATGCCATGTAGTGCTGACACATTATCTAGGACAGAGTAGCAGCCATATTTGCTATTGTAGCCTCAGCAGCTAGCACAATGCCTGGCACATAGTAGTGCTCAAGGAATACCTGAACTGTGGACTATGTTGAATAACCTACTTTTTAATTATTAAGTTCATTTGCAAGCATTAGGCAGTATCTCAGAATCTGACACTCTCCAAATTTTAAACATGCCCCATGTTCTAAATTTACTCCTTATTCCTCCTTCCAACTTAACTCCTTTCCTAATTGAGACATCTATCCTTCAGAGGATATGAGCACTGTCAGAAAGAAATCAATCTGACTGAACTGATTCACACCATACTGTGAATGACTAAAAGTGCTTTAACCTATCTGAACTATTGGGATTTTTTAAACGTTGGAAGAGCACCTATTGCCAGGACTTAGGACAGTTATAATATAGTATATAATTGAAATCATTCAGGCAGTGTGGGGAAGCTACCCTTAAATTCATTTTCTCTAAGTTATTCCTGAATTTCAAAGCTTACCTTTCTTCAGTGTAAATTTATACCTTTAAAAAAAGTCAAGCTTATTATAATTTTTAGATGATAGATCACACTCCCCTTAAATAAACTGAGGAAAGCTAAGGTCCATCTCCTTTCATCAGAAAGACATACAATTATTGCATATAATTTTTAGAGGGTTCAGTAACCATTGCTTAAGGGGGTAGAATTTGCAGATGCTCCAGTGTCTGGTTCTTTACTCTCTGGGCACATGGAAAATGACTCTTCTCAGTCCCTGTCAACTAAGCAGGGCTCTGTGGCAAGGCCTGGCCAAGGGGCAAAAGTTATTTCTGGGCTTAAGCAGTGGAGAGCCCACCTGAGATGCTGCAGCTGATTCCTCTCCAGCTGCAGTGATCACAGAGGAAGCCTTATTAAAAATTATGGAGCCATAAGATCGAAGCAGCCTGGATCGCTAAATCTCCACAGGTAGAACATTTGTCCTGGAAAGCCATTCATATCTGCATCAGACATTGCGTGAACAGAATAATCCATGTTTTGGTGAACCACTGAGATTTTCAGAGTTGTTTGTTACCACAGCTTAATTTAGGCTGTCCTGACTCCATGAGCTTCACGGTCCTTCGTGGTGGCTCCCTGGGCAGCAGCAGCAAGAGCCCCAGTGGGAGAATCGGAACAGCTATTTCTCTGCGTGACAATTTATGAATTGTGTGTTTATATGCTGTGGGCCTGCCTGTGATTATTTTAGAAGCAGAGAGCATTAAAATGCCTTGTTTTTTACCTCCATTTCTAGTCACAGAAAACAAGTTTAACAAGACAAATGAGAGATGAAACATTAAAATATATTCTTTATATACTCTCTGCTACTGTCAAAAAGTTTAAGAAAGATATACATCTTCTCTGCTAATCTCATTTAAATCAATAGATGATCAAAGTG